ACTCAATCCCGGAAGTACAACCAGTGTCCATACAGTACAGTACACTGTACAGGCAAGGCTAGATTGCAGTACAATACGAGACTTGAAATCAGGGAGTCGTAAAATACTGGTATTTTAGTACGACTCTCTGCTTGAAATACAAAAAAAGTCTTGAGTCAGTGGGCGATGAGAGAGTTTCGTGTTGTCGCCCTAGCCGTGCCACATGATATCTCCCTCGCCACCTCTCGGATTCAAGCTCGAAGCAACTTACTTTCCAAGTTTCCAACGGTTCGATAATTAATACAATGTAATCATTGGGCAGTCGGTAGTCTGTGCTTGTACATTGTAGGTGGTTTGAGTACAATAACTGTGCGCTGCTTGATATCCACAGTATTTTTTTTCTACAAAATCCACATATCTCCAGACACTGGGGTGAATGATGGAGTGTGGTGGTGGGGCCCATTAAGCTCCGCCGACCAGAGGTCTCGGCTTCATAGCTCCATGGACGCACCAAAGGGATATTGGGTAGGGAGGATTAAAATTTAATTGAAAAAGAAAACAGAAGAAAGAAAATGGAAAGATTGTATTGCTCAGTGAGCAAAAGAATAAGTTGAGTATTGATGTGGACGCTGTTAGACTTTTAAATTCAAGAGGAGACTGTCTGCGAGGAGAGATTACATGTATGTCCAAGCAGGGTAGGATACTGTACTCTCTTACTCGCGTATGCTATGAGTGGCCCAGTGCCAGTTCGTTCTGAGGAGATGGTGATAAGCTGCTGTCTTGAACTTTTGGATGTTCTTTGGGTGAAATGGGTGGGGAATGATAGAGGTAGGCAGCTGGTTCCAAATTGGGATGACGGAGTGGGGAAAGGCTCGGCTCACATTGTTCCGGGAATTGGCAGGAAGAACATTCTGTAACTGATGGGGATGCGCGGTGGACAGTCGTACAGCCTGGCGGGTGAGGCGTGTAGTCCTGGGTTGGTGTGTCGGGGGTGGAGCCATTCTCGAGAGAAGAGCTGGAGAATTATCGCAAAGGGCTTTATACAGGAGGCAGAGGGCAGCGATGGTGCGGCGAATTATGAGGCTAGGAAGCCAGCATTGCGGATGTATTGCCTTGATGGCTCGCTCCTGCACCCAGTCCAGCCGATTCAAGTGGGAAGGAGCTGCCCCCATCCAGACGATTGGGCAGTACTCCATAACCGGCCGGACAAAGGCTTTGTAGGCTCGACGCCGGGCAGGAATAGTCAGCAAGTGAAATGCCTTGCGCAAGGTTCCAAGTCTCTGCGTTGCTCGGACTACAACAGTTCGGATATGCTGGCTGAATTTTAGCTGATGGTCAAACGTGACGCCGAGTACTTTGATGGAGGGCTGCTCCTCGACAGGAGTTCCATTGAAGACAATGGGGGGGTATTGGCCAGTCCCGACGATGGTGGGAAATTGTAAGGGCCTGAGATTTGGCTGGCTCGAACTGCACTTTCCAATCCGAGCCCCAACTGGATACTAGGTCGACAGCAGCCTGGAGTACTCTAGCGTTGTCAGGAACAGCACCGAGCGTTGCAATTTCGGCGTATAGGGTTGTGTCGTCGGCGAATGAGGCAAGGTTGGAGCCGATTGGGAGGCGGTCTTCCAGGTCGTTGACGTAGACCAAGAATAAGGTGGGGCCCAGGATACTGCCCTGTGGCACCCCAGCCTTAACTGGGCGTCTGGCTGATGTCTGGCCGGAGATGAGGACTTGAAGTGTGCGGTTGCAGAGGTAGTCTTGGAGCCACCGATGCAGGTCTCCCGAGATTCCATACACTCTAGCCTTGTGCAACACACCAGTGTGAGACACTCTTGAAGTCATCCTTGTTGTTTAATCCACAAAGTGTGATACCGAAAGTGAAGAACCATTCGAGGTAAATAGCCATTGTAACTTGCAAGTACAGTGTATGAAAAAAGGGTTATTATACCACGCCGGCCGTCTATTATTAAGTTAAAGTCATGTAACGCTTGAAGTAGTGTGCGTCCGAGCATCCAGCACCCACTGCTAATGTTATCGGACACCAACGTCGCCTAATTCTTATACATTGTACATACATGTACATGTACATGTATACATTAATTTAGTTCACACACAGGCACAATTCAGATGCGTTTCGCCGCCTATTATAAAACACCACTTGGTGGAGTGGATCGTGATTTGAACTGGAATGAAACGAAAATAGGGAATGAAAAGACTTCTCCTAAGGTGAAGTAGGGATCATCAACACCTGTACAAGTCGACCACCATGAACTCTTGACCTGATGGCTACCCTCCATGATCCAGTGCAGTGTCCTCAGTGATATGAACCGAACCGCAAATCGTGGTGTCTTATCTAGTGCAATGTGGCCTGTCGGGACTTGTATCGAAGTCGCTTGGATAGCTTCTTTGTTTCTTTGTGGACAAACAAACCAAAAAATGTTGTCATTGCAGTTGTACTGCCATGCAGAGCCGGCATGTCTTGTATCTTGTGCTGTTCTGAGTGCCTGTGTCAGAGCTACTCATGTGTTGCATGCATTAACCGTGACTGGGAAAATGTGGGAATAGCTGCTTGACATGACTACCAAACACGGGAGTTGCCAATGCTGCATGCGGTGCTGCTTTGTTTTTGTAGTTCTGCTAAAAGCGGATCGCTCGAGAAGTGGCCACTTGAAGTCTTTGCAACAATCCACAGCCTCGGAAAGCGTGGTAGAGAAGATAGAGAAGGTAAGGAGGAAAACGTGTGCATTCTCACAGGCCACAGACCTTAGGCCTAGAGCCGTAGAGGGTGCAGGACTTGTATCAGTTACATGTAGCCCGCATTAGCACTTGTTTGGTGTCCAAGTTTCCAGCACGTGAACCAGTGAGATGGACAAAGACCGGAGTAACAAATTCAATAATAACACACAGTAGGTGTGTGGCTGCTGGTTCGTCACAGGTGTGTATATTATGTTGACGCCAGTAAGTGCTGCCCACGCAAACGCAGCCTTCTCGGGACGGTCTAAGTAGCACTGCCAGGAGGAGAGCAAGTCCCATGACAATTCAATTAGGGACATTTCGATGGCTGCACCCTGTGCTTCTTCTACTTCTAGTAAATACTCTTACGAAGTCTTAGAGTAGATCTACATGTAATGCCATTGGCATTGGCACCCCTGGGTAGTTCCCAGCATCACAGTCTACAGACACAGAACTGAGTGTGCTGCATACCACTCCATCATTATGGCACTTCAACAACTGTGTGTTTTGTCCTGTTCACACGCCCAGGAGATGAGAACTCTTGAAAAGCGTGACGAAAAAGCACTCAACCACAATCTACATGTATAGTAAATAACAACATCACACGGCTAGCTGAGATACGTATGTACTGATGTCTGGTCCTGGAGACCTGGACCTGGGCAAACTTGAACACCAACAAACACCCGTAGGCTCCACCACTCATACTGATTGACACCCATCAGCTACCCGTATATGACATGTACAATGTACAATGTAGTTACTGGTCGTGTTTAAAAAGACACACTGCAATACGGCCAGTCAGCAATTACATTAGACCAGGCATGATGGCCCAGTACACATGGTACAGCGCCAGGGATAATTATTATTAATTTTAATGCAAGTACAGTAGCCTGAGTAGGTCTACTAACAGAGGGGGGGGGGGGGGGGGTCATGTGCTCTCATGCTCAGTGTCCACGCAATCAAGAGTACATAACCCCCCAGAGTGTGCAACTCCACTATGGGTGCTGTCCCGACAGAATTTCAAGTTGACGTCATTTTGATGATGCAATGCGCACTGTACACGGATTATCAGACGAATCCGGAACCTGTGGTTGACCGAAGCCGATCGATCCTGTACAAATTATTGCAAAGAAAAACGTGTGATGCGTTGACACCCGTACACATGTTGTAAATCACTGCACTGCTGCAAGGAGCATTGCGTCATAAATAATGACGTCAACTTGAAATTCTGTCGGGACAACAGGGTACGTGTGAGTTGCACACTCTGGGGGGTTATGTACTCTTGACGCAATAATTATGTCACTGCAGTACCCATACCAGAACTGCAGCTATGGCAAGTGAAACCAGGGCCACAGTAGAGGAAGACACAAGCTAGGCACATGCATAATTGTGATAAGGTCTGTTTTCTCATCTGACGGCTCATTTACAAGTACAAAGGGGGGGGGGGGCATACAAGGCCTCTACCAAGCTAACTACATTGCAGTACAGTGAAGGCAATGAGAAGAGGAGGGAGGGAAAGTGTTGTGACTCGACGTTTCACACACTGGTGGGCAATTGTCAGACAACTGCTGGATAGCCTGGAATCTTCCTGTTTCACAGCGTAGGCATGAAGATTTCTTCGGCAATGCCCCTGTACATTAAACGGTTATACCGGATAACTGGTTATCGGACCGCTAGAACTTAATGGTTACGAAACCGTTATGTTTGATGTTTCAACGGGTTTTTCATGCACATGTATCATGTAGCAGTGCAGTGTATGGTATACTACAGTGCTGGCAACTGAAATCCGACCCCCTTGCCGGCACGGCACTGTAGTACAACACGTTAACGCCGTGTGCAGGATAGCAGGAAACTCTTACCCGTTGGCACATGTCTACAATGAAGACTAATGTCTTTTCACTCATTGATGGGAGCTTTTGATTTGGAGAAGGGTGTACTGAAGTAGTGCTATATGTCGTAGGTCCAGTGGGGAGGAGGAAATTGTGGAATTTCGGCTCGGCACTGAAGACGAAACCGTCATCACCACAGTTCCGATCGTTGCTTTTTAGAGAATACCTGGTCATGCGAAAGTTGTGACCGTTTAAGCCCTAACCAAGAGTACATAACCCCATAATCAGCACTCTCATGTGGGGTAGTGCCTTTGCTGTTTGCATTGCGCAGAGCTCACTGACTTGTCGGTTTGAGCACTCTGGCAAGGTACGTTCGGGCCTGGTTTAAATCTGGCTTTGGAAATTTTATTTTCATTGCTATCAGGTTCGGCCTCATTTTCTCTGTGCTGCGCTGATGAGTTCACAAAGAACGAAACAGCATGCTGTCCGCATATTCAGTAACCCCATAATTATGTACTCTTGATGATACTATACAATATCTAGACATAAACCAGCATCTGAACAAGAGAGAAAAATTGCAAGAGAGAAAAAGAACAAGCTACACTGCTAGTTGGCAATACGTGTCTGGTTACGGCACCCAAGACTGAGTGAATGTCACATTACAACTCTCTTGCTGCTGCTGCTACCTAGGAAGAGGAAGGTTACAGTGGTGATCAGAAACGGTAAAACAAAGCTCCAGGGCGACAGCGCAAAAGCACACACAGGGAAGGTCACTAGATAGACAGTTATTTAAAAATAGACATGGTGAAAGCATGCAGTAGTGTGTCTATGATCAGAGACAGGGCTGCTGGTTTTGGTCTGTTCCACTGCAAGGATGCCAGCACACACATCATGCCGGTATACTACTACACAACTGTAGTAAGTAGTGAGTGAAGAACGGTCAACACGCTGCCACAGGCTGCATCATCGTAACAAGTACAACTAGCACCAAACAGTACCCAGCCATCGCCATCACCGCCATTGCCACCACCACCAGGATGCATGCACATAGGTCAGCATGGACGCGGAGAGTGAGAGCGGCTATGCTGCATATACCGTCGCTTGCATCAGAACGTCAGCTACACAAGGTCGCCTCTCGCAGCGGGACGACAACACACCATGAGCGGGCAGCAACTGACATATACGTCAGCAGAAAAGGTGAAAGAAGTGCGGTCCCGGAAAACTCTCATCCACCGAATAATTCAGTTTAGAATTTGCTAAGTAGAGTGCAAGGCTATAGCAGAAGTTCTGCCTCACAATCTGCTACATAGTGCAACGCCATATTGTTCAGAAGAGATCCATCCAGCTTCACTGTCCTATGTTGGAATGATCAATCTGTGAATAGCTTTGGGAACGGCATTTCTGCTGTAGGAAGCAGCCTAGAACACAAAATAGGAGTGCAAAACAAAAAAATCAAATAAACATCGGTGTCTCGTCACCAAGTTGCAAGGCCAACTCACAGCCATCCTGACACACGAGTAAACACAGAGCATCATTCAACCCTTGGGCAATATTCCAGGAGTCCATAGCAGACAGGTGGGCACGTGTGTGTGTGTGTGTGTGTGTGTGTGTGTGTGTGTGTGTGTGTGTGCGTGTGTGTGTGCGTGTGTCCGTGGTTGCAGGACGAAGGAAAAAGAAAACAAGAGGGACTGGGAGAGAGAAACAGAGGGAAATTTCCCATCACTTACCAGTTGTCACCACTGTACTCAACACCATCACTTTCCACGATGTGAAACGTGTAGATGTTGCGCGACCTGTCCGAGTGATTCGAACCACTCTTGTGCAAAACCGACCCATCGATCATGACGAGCGAGCCTAAACATCAAGCATACATTTTAAAACGAAACCAGAGAAATAGACTCTAAAGGGCGTGTCAGCAGCTGCATTGTACATAAATTGTTTGCGGGCAACTCGTCTACACTCAAGCGAGCACTGATGTCTTGCGCAATCCAGCAGTGCTTCAGTAGTACTCCAGTAGTGGGTTTGTGCAGCAGAGATAGCATACAAGTGTGAGGACAGTAGTATCCACACAGCATGACACAGTGACTACACCGCACACATCCTGGTTTTGACATGCACCGTGTTCTCCAAGGTCGTCACCGCATGCATCATGACCTTGGACCACCGGCATGACGTCACACCGTATAGTGTAAACAACAAAGAATTTGCAGATTTTGACTTTCACCGACGGGCACCAAAGAAAAATACCCGACGCGGAGGTAAACATGATACTAGAAGAAAGCCCACAAAACTCTCTATTGCATAGACATTTCGATGGAGAAAATAGATTGTTTACTGACACCCCTGATCCCAATAGTTAATGTAGCGTCCATTTAGCGTTTGTCTTTACACAGTGTGTATTTTAGTTCCTCTTCAACGGTCTACTTCTCTTCCTCTCTTTCCCCCTTTTTCTTATCTCCCCCTGTGCATAAAATTCTTCGCTAAATTTATCACCTACAAATAGTGGGTAATGGTTACCACCCTTGCGATGCTACTCATCCCTATGTTTTATTGGTTCTGCTTGCTTGTACTTCATTTGAAGAGAATGTCCGAAAACTTGTTTATGAATTTCGGAGTCCTTATTGATGATGATGGTGAAGAATAGCTTGAGATTTGTAGTTTTTCTTTCACTAAAGGAGATAATTGTGATATAACACTAAGAGGATGAATTTGGTTGTTCCTACGCGAAACACACGCTTCCTGCCGAACTTGACACTTGACTGGAGCAGGGAGTGGTGCTTTCTTGCAGGTTTGGAAGGTGCGACGTGCTCCTGAAGAGAAGGCACGACAGTTTACTTGTCAGACGTTTTCAAAATGTTCTTGTTGAAGAACCTGAAGTGTGCGATACCGGCCTCGGATACCGGATGCGGATACCGGAACTCAATGTTGAGCATGCATGTGACCATCTTGCGAAACGAATGGTTCAAGCACTGGGCCAACTGTGGTGCCATGGCCAATCCTTAACGATTGCTGCCAGGGAAGCACGCCAGGTTCATCAGCATGATCAACAGCAAACCATGCTGTGTCTGTTTGTACGGTGCAGATCTTCAAGAAACTGTGAACCAATTTGCTGACGTAGTTTCTGAGAAAGGACAAGGAATTCATCAGATACCGGCGATGATGTTCAACCTCCTTCATCTCCTACACAGTACTAAAGCAGAGAAAGTTACATGGTTACCACCTGGTTGGGGAGCAGGGGAACAGGGGAACAGACACGTGCTCCTACACACCAGGAGTAAGTAAGGTGCCGATGGTATTCATGCCATCTTCCCCCTCCCTAGCACTGCCCCGACAGCTCCTTTATTCTGAAGGCTGAACAGTGTGTTGTTGCCGTCAAGATATGAATTTAAGGTGTTCGTTTCCGTACTCGTGTATCGATGCCTGAGCCAAAGCAATAGCTCATTTCCACAATCACACTTCCATCCACTTCACAGTCCGTATTCCACTTCACAGTCCGTACTCCACTTCACAGTCCGTATTCCACTTCACAGTCCGTATTCTACTTCACAGTCCGTATTCTACTTCACAGTCCGTATTCCACTTCACAGTCCGTACTCCACTTCACAGTCCGTACTCCACTTCACAGTCCGTACTCCACTTCACAGTCCGTATTCTACTTCACAGTCCGTATTCCACTTCACAGTCCGTATTCCACTTCACAGTCCGTATTCTACTTCACAGTCCGTATTCTACTTCACAGTCCGTATTCCACTTCACAGTCCGTATTCCACTTCACAGTCCGTATTCCACTTCACAGTCCGTACTCCACTTCACAGTCCGTATTCCACTTCACAGTCCGTATTCTACTTCACAGTCCGTATTCCACTTCACGGTCCGTATTCCATTTCACAGTCCGTATTCCACTTCACAGTCCGTATTCCACTTCACAGTCCGTATTCCACTTCACAGTCCGTATTCCACTTCACAGTCCGTATTCCACTCGATGGCAGGCTTCCTGTCTGCTGCAAGTCCCGTTTCTGCGTGGCCCTGCCGGCAGGTCGTCCATCCAGTTTGTAGGCAGCATTCACTGGAACAAGGTGCCAGGCTCTATCCGTTCCATTGAAGAGTTCACTGATCTCAAGGTTTCTCTTACTCAGAGTGCCCTGGCTCAGTCAGCTGCAGTAAAATCATGTGACGTTTTCCTCTTTCGCAACGCTTGTAATCACTTCTGAACTGTATTGAGTAGCTCTGCCATAGCGACATTTTTGCCTAGAGCATGTTCGCCTCCCACATCAACATGCGATGGTTCTTCACGTATCATCAAACCTAATAATTCATCACCCATATAAATATCACCAGTGCATGTTCACATCATGTGTCTCATATAGCATGCCTTCTTATCACACTACATGAATATTTAACTCGGATACTGAGCCAGTAGATATAATTAAAATAGAAGAAATCACATGGAAACGAGTTATGAAGCAACTATCCACGACTGTAACAAGATAATAAGCAGTCAGATAGTGCGATAACAGGGCACAAAACTGACAGGCTACTGAGACATTCAGCGACCTGAGACCTAGCTCTAACACATCTTCAGTGCGCAAACCAACAGCCTTCCAGCTTGGAAGGTTCAAGGTTATGGTAGGACCAATGAGGGGAAGGTGAGCGCAGCGAAAATGTGCCCAAGCTAAGTCCCACGGCAACAAAGAATGCCGACTATTACAGGACGATGACGAGACCAGTTAAAATTAATAACATGACAATGCGGTCTAACCCTAACCGGTCTAACCGGTGCCCTGTTGTCGCACTTTCTGACTGCTTATTATCTTGCTACAGTCATGGATAGTTGCTTCATAACTCGTTTCCATGTGATTTCTTCTATTTTAACTACATGTACATCTTCATCTTATACTTAGAGTCTAGCCACATGGTTAGGCGAGAAGGCAAAAGTGCCTGTGTATCTGGTGTGAAATATTTAACCCTTTGTGGACGGACTGTACGAGTTTCGATCTAATAACATACTGACCAACCACCACAATCTCAATCCCTTGACAAGACATGCAGAATCCCTGGATTTCTCTCAAAATCCCTGGATGGCACAAAAACAAGTGAAAAAGAGCTTTTCCCGCCAAAAAAACGTTCGACTTTGCAGCTGGGCGTACAGCACAGATCGACCCTGTACTAGGCTGTAGTGCAGTTTGATCAGTCGGCGCCCGCCTGTCACTTTGTCAGTGCAGATCTTCAAAGTGCTGTGCACAGTTCGAAGTGCGAATGAGCACCGTACATATCTTTGAAAAAAGTTCAAAAAACCGGGACATTCGGGGAGAAACCATGGAGTTTTCAGGAAAATCCTGTATCAGACAAAACTTTGGTTTTTCCGGGAGTTTGCTTGAAATCCCCGGGACCCCGGGAGGAGTGTTGATTTTCCGGGATTTTCCCGGGAAAAACGGGAGGGTTGGCCAGTATGTAATAAGATCGAAACTTCGTAACTTCGTAACTCCATCGTTTCTTGAGCAAATTCCACAATCGAAGGGTCTACGTGGTAGCAGGAACTCCAAGCTGTCCAATGCAACAATCGCTGAAGAGTTACAATGTCGGACGCCAGAGATATCGCACGCCGTATTCTTACCTCGGCAAATTCAAATTTTTGATCGATCATTTCGCCATTTTGGGGGAAAATCCCTTTTCGTGTGCTCTTTGAGCGAGCAGTGAGCACATGATAATGACGTAGCCGGCTGAAGTTTGAATCGTCTCAAACAGATTTGAGCGTTCTGCGATGAAGGAGAGTGGAATGGCGTTGATGGGACGAATTTGCTTGCATATCAGGCTTGGAGACGACTTTGCTGTGTTTCCGCGCCTGATTTGTGGCGGCCGGATAATGGAGATTGGTATCCTGACGTAGCTCTCGCCAAGAGCTTTCCAATGAGCCCTTGATTGTGAAAATCAAGTGAAGGACACCAAAGTTATGACATGGAGAAGTTGAAAATTGTACTGACATTTTGTAATTCTGGTGCATACTGTGCTAGTAATCCGTCCATAAAGGGTTAAAAAATAAAAAATAAAAAATAAATAATAACATGTGAAGGACCACATGCTGCCGCTGTACTCCTGAGAGACTTCAATGTCGATACAGTCAGACCTCGCTTATCCGGTCCTCTTTTATCCGAATCCCTCGCAATCCGGAAGAAATTGTTGGTTACCGATTTACAGCATATGGCATGCATACAGACAGTATGTGTGTTCGATTATCCGGTTCCCTCGCCTATCCGGATATTTTTTGTGGAAAACGGACGTGTGCGGCTAAGCGAGGTCTGGCTGTATGTTGAAGCCATCATATGTTGCTAGACTCTCTAACAAACCGTGGGTGTTTCGGAGCCGAGTTGAGTGGCCATCGCACAGCTTGAAGAGTGCTTTAACAGCTCACGGATGAGATACATGTAGACCGACATGCGTTCTAGCAGGTCATGTGCTGCTTCCTAGACCCCGCGAAAGGCAACCTAAAAATGATACAACAGTAACAAAACGGGAGCTAAAAAACATGAATCCTAGCCCTACATTCCCTTTGCTGACTTATATGTTCTCGTCTCTCGTTCTTCTAGTTGTCCCTGTTGGAAGTTGGCAATGCAGTCTTGTACCAATGCAATGGCAGGAATAGCAAGCTCACCTTTCTTTACCTCCACAGGAACATACTTTGAGTCTTCCACCTGTGCAGCTTGGCCAGTGAAGATGGTAGGTGGCGATGGGCCTTCAGGGTTACGTACCATGCGTGTGCCAATCGGACATGCTGCCAGTCAGACAACAGTCAAACACACACACACACACACGCACACACGCGCGCACGCACGCACACACACACACGCGTGCGCACACACAAGTTCAGTAGCTGAAATTGTCATAAACTATGTTCCACGGTTTGAATTGAAGACTTCAAATGTCATCAGATGATCTGATCGCTAGTACAGGTGGAATCCTGAAAATTCAAAGCCCAAATTGCCGAGGAAAACTCCTTAATATCCAGACTACACCATAGCTTGGTGGTAGAGCATCGCTGGCCATAAGCAGAGGTCCCTGGTTCAAGTCCTTGATCCTTGAGCAAGCTGGTACAAGTGAGAGGGAGGAGATCGTCAGTGCAGCTCTGTTCTCGTATCTCCTTTTTAAAAGAGAAGAACACAGATGATGGAACCGAGCTGAGCCATCAGCCAGTCCAGCTGAACCATCATCAGCCACGACGAGCCGAATTGAGGTCACGCAGCTCGAGAAGAATGCAACCAGTTCCTCGGAATCTGACGATGAGCCTCTGGACTCTGATGCCCTCTAGCAGTTGCAGATCTCCAGAGGCCCAGCTGCTCTCCCTGTAGTGTGTGGTAGATTGTGCACAGTACTGGAGCCTCAGTCTTGTCATGTGAAAGGTGTAAGGCTGTGTTTACATGAGAAATTTCAACCCGGGTCGAGTTCAGCCCGGGTTGAAAGTCTGTACGATAGACAAAATAGGTGAGCGTTTACATGAAGACAGTTGACCCGGGTCAAATACTGACATGCCGCCAAAAGTCCACTTCTAGAGTCCTGTATGATCACGTGAATCCGTTCGCGCGAAATTTGCATATGCAGTCCTGTTCAAACCTGGCGCGAGATACGCACAGAAGTACGTTTGTACGATTTTCTTGACCCGGGTTGATTTCAACCCCTTGGGGGGAGGGTTGAAATCAACCCGGGGCGAAATTTCAACCCGGGTCATGCGCAATGCGTCATGTAAACGCGCCATTCATTTTGTGTACATGGCGGGTTGAAATCTGACCCAGGTCGAAACGCCTCATGTAAACACAGCCTAAGTGCAGTGGATATCAATTAGGGTAAGTGCAGTGGATATCAAATTATCAATAGACAATTCTAAACATCTATAGAGCTTTTCTTTTGTAGGTCTCCTTCGCCTCCACTGGTCCATAAAATATTTGCCTGTAAAATCTAAAATTTGCAGGCGAAAAATCCACAGGCGACCTTACTTTTGTGTGTTCCTGGTGCAAACCAGAGGCACGCGTTGTCGATGACGGCGTCTTCCAGGGCAATCCAGAAGCCGGTAAGGCGCAGCGGTGTGGTGTGCAGGAAAGAGCTGTCCTGGTGTGGTGTCACTACGACGGAGGGCATACACACACACACACACACAACATACACTAGCTACTTGCAAGGATTTCACCACGGTCAAAACGAATGTGCACGCACGCACTGCACCTGAGTGGGTGCATGAGAGATGAAAACCGAATGCCATACAAGTCCAAAATATTGTCCGTGAATTTTCCGTCCAATTCAAGGTCAATAATAATAATAATATTCGCGGGATCCGCGTCGGCATCGCTTGAATGTTCGTTCAGAAACACACAAACTAGCCTTCGCATCCGCAGGCCACCACTATGCCTGTTAACCTTAGTGGCGAATGCAGACCTCACAAGTGAGTCAGGGGAGAGGAGGTTAGTCTCTCAACCAATCGGGCGTGTAACGGCCCATAACCCTGTGAACTGCATCCCTGTTATTCTCACTCCGAGCTGTGAGTACCCAGTTGACCGTGGGTGTCGGCGCAGTTCAACACGCGTAAAAAGTCTTTTTACACGCTCCCTGCTACCAGCGCGGGTCTTGAACTCGGGACCTCATGATTCGCAGGCAGGCCTGCAAACCAATCGGCCATATGCGTTGGTTCAAGGTCAAGACTCACAAAACTAAGTCTGCAAGCGAATGTTGAGCCGCCGAGAAAATCCCCTGAATACGGCTGAAAGGGTCAACAAGGCTGAAGCAATGTAGACTACGCCTGGCGTTATTTTGAGTGAGGAGTAAAAGTGAGCAAGGAAAATTCAAAGCTGGCAAACTGCAACACACACACAAGCCCCAGGTGCAGCCATAGTGTGAGACAGAAGCATGACTGCAGCATAGATGCTCAAAAAACAAGGTCTTCCCGCTTGTTAGCTTCACCTAGGGAACTTAGCCCACTGTGTGTAAATTAGCTGGGAGGACAAACTTAACTAAGGTAGCAGTATTGCACCGAGCTAAGAACCCTTCCAAAGCAAACTAAGGTAGCAGTACTGCACCGAGCTAAGAACCCTTCCAAAGCAAACTAGGGTAGCAGTACTGCACCCAGCTAAGAACCCTTCCAAAGCAAACTCTCACCCACCTACTCCACCACACTTGGCGTTCTAGAGAGGAACACAAGGGAGAAAAAAAAAGAGGAGAAAAGGACAGATCAGACAAATGCATAGCACACAATACCGGTGGTGTTTGACCCGATGCCGCAATGGTGAAAGGCCGCCACGTTGAGATAGCAGGGTTGGGAGAGGAGAAAACATCTTTGAGACCAGTTCAGCAAGAGCATCATCATAGCACGCTGCACAACGGTGTACGATTACGCTGTTGGCCGATTTCACAATTCAAATAATTGAGCCCACAGCATCTGTGAAGATGCGTGCGTGTGTGTGTGTGTGTGTGTGTGTGTGTGTGTGTGTGTGTGTGTGTGTGTGTGTGTGTGTGTGTGTGTGTGTGTGTGTACGTGTGTGTGTGTGTGGGGGGGGGGTATACAGTCATGTAAGCAGCAAGATGACAGGATGACTCTAGTCCACGTAACCTACCTTGAAGATGAACATGCTTTGTGGAATAACTGGCTGCTGGTAGCCCACACTACGTGCTGCAGCCTGTGACATGGACAAAAAGGCATGGCCCGTCCAACATTGCATTCACAGTTTCACACATACACATGTACCATCACACAAACTGATGCATATAATCCACATCGCCAGCGCTCTTCAGTCTCCAAAGCGAAGCCATGAAGGTACATGAACTTGCCCCGGTGACAACCCAGCTTCATGAAATACTATTACATGTACTACTACAATGCTACCGCTGCTGCTGCTGTAGTGCTGCTGCCACATTAATTTGGTCATATGACGTCGTCACATGACTGCCGAGCCGACTGCAGACATGTATGCCACGTTTGCGCAGTATCTCCAAATGTGAGAACGCATATCGTGACACCGCGCATGGAAGGTATTCGGTTTACAACTGTACAGTGATAAAAACAACCAAAGTCAGGAGCAGCAGGCAGACGCAGCAGGCAGGCAGGGGCAGAGCAGGTGTGGCAAACAACCAACCTCACCTGTACTAGGGGTGCGTGGGTGAACTGCTTGAAGTCCTCATCCAAAGCATGAAGTGCTGAGCACAGAAAAGAATGTGCATGCCAGCATCACAGCCGGCACACAAGCATAGTAACACACAGCCAGGCACACAAGTATAGTATCACACAGCCAGATACCAATGAGCACAATGAGCCACACTCCAGTTGTCCAGCTGTATGATATTGATAAGATTCATCATGGACATGAATGTGGAATCAGGCCAGGATGGCACAAGTACATGTACTTGTTTTGCTTGCCGGACAAACCATGATCCATGGATCTATCTCTATGGGTCTGGATTTGTCAACGACTTTGAAGCTTCTGTCAGAATAGTGCTGTGCACACACTGCAAGAATCAGTGCGGAATAATGCCTTCGCCCACAAGGACATACATATACCGTAAAGTACCGCCAGAGCGCCCCGTCTCGCGAGAGCGCCCCACCTTGATTTTACAGCCAGAGAAAGGAAAATCGTATGGCAGAGTGCAACGAAGTGTGTACGATGTGAGAATCTTAGTGTACTAAGGTCACGCTTGGCAGGTTTTTGTGTGGAGCTTGTGTCCTCTTGAAGGTACGGATTGACTGCAAAACGTGCAATATGTGTACAGGGTTCATGTCGTATGACCTCCAGACAGCAGACCACCTCCACAATACGACCACGAAAGGATGAGATGGTGGGGCGCTCTGGCGGTACTTTACGGTACAGGTATAGCGACAACCTTGGCCAGTTCATGTTTATTCGCAAGAACACTGACATCACCAGAAACCGAACTACTGGCCAATATCCATGAGCGTTGCTAGCTGTGTATTCTCTAGCTTACCATGGCCTATCTTGTTGAGGCACAGATGTGCGGGTTGTTTGAGCTGGCCTACAGTGAGAACACACACACACACACAAGTAAAATATACACACACGTAATATATACACACACGAACACACACACGCACGCACACGTGCACGCACACACACACACACACACACACACACACACACACGAGTCGCAGTGAACGGCACGACACGTCTAACCTATCCCTTACAGTTCTGGACCAGGCGGTGTGCATAGTATACTGCTGTGAACATTGAAATCCGGCGGAATGAAAGGGGCCGGCGCCCTCACTGCCTTAGCGCATGCACGCACTGTAGTTCACATACACAGTGCAAAAATGGATCAGCGGAGCCCACGGCTGCAAGGTCAGCACCCCGTGGCCGCTTGACTTGTCAGCAGACTTCAATGTCCACTACAGTACTTGCAGCAACAATAAATAGCAATCAAGGCAAAGAGTGTATGGTACAGAAAACTCACTTAGCAGTACATGTATGCATCCTGGATATTAGGGGAAAGCTCGACATCATCATCAATTCATCATCATCGGCATCATCATCGTACACATCAGCATAGGTAAAAAGACTAAAAGACCAACCTTGGTCGTTGAACGCATTTTGCTCAAAGAAGAAGCGGATCTTGTCGCCGCTAGTCATGAAGTACTCGTCATTGGTCCTGGACTGCATGGTGTGGTGCCAGGACAGCAGTGTACATACACACACAGACACACACAGTGACACACACACACACACACACACACACACACACACACACACACACACACACACACACATCCACATAAACTTGGGGGCACAGCACCGCAGGCAAGCGCATGCGGCCCTCGACGCCCTCATAGTGCTAGAACTAGTAGAAGCACCTTCAGCAGCTACACAGCTATGCACCCTGATGACAGTGATGTAGAGGTCCGGCAGGCAAAGAGTACGTCAAAGAGTAGGTCTACTAAGTACATGACTAGCAGTGCAGCCTGCCTCTATCTATGCCTCTTGCATTCATGCAATCGCTGGTTCTACTTGGCAATCAGGTCACTAAAAACTAGCCTACAATCCATCATGCGAAGGAACTGCATAAGCATTAAGCATAAGCATTGTACTGATGACGACATGCACTACCTCAGCACGATGAGTTTTTACCTGCTGGTCAGTGGTGAATACAGTTCCAGGATGCTTGGACAAATCCAATTGCTCATCAACAATGGACAAGATCTTAGCACGCAGGACTTCGCATTCCTCTGCTGTGTATGCATCTGGTAAGACCACGAAGCCATCATCCAGGAACTACAAACCAGTCACAGAAGGTAGACCAACAAGAATTCGCACACGAGGGAATAGTGGACTTGCATGTATTCACCTTCCATTGCAAATTGTGTTGGAACAAAGTCAAAAAATGGATCTCTTTTCCTACCTTCTGCCGCTGTTCGTCTGTGAATTGCACCGCCATTGATCCGGTTCTACGTTGTCCTGTTGTGTAAAAACTGATAATGTAAATTGGTCGAACAGAGAGCCTTCTCCCCTGCTAAGAGAAGAATGTGAAATAGTGTGACCATTTATTTTGGAATGACGATACTTGCAGCACCGGTATTTTGAAAGATGCGATCACGTGTCACGCACGGTCCAGCATGAATGACGTCGATATGAAGGTCAAAGCACTTGACAACGTCTCGTTTCCAGGGTTGTTTGTGCAATCCCCCATCAAACACAGTCAAAAACATTAATTTTTTGAAGAGCAACCGTTCAGGCATATTCTCAACCTTATTGGGAGAGGAGAAGCGTTTTATATTCTAGTCATGGCGTTGGCGTTGTGCTCTGCTGCTCGGCAATGCGCCGCACGCTCACTTGCGTCGGCTTGTGCTGCCCAGAAGCATACTCTCCCCGACTTGCCCTACGACTATGGCGCACTGGCACCCCACATCTCCCCAGAGATTATGCAACTGCACCACAGCAAGCACCATCAGACTTACGTCAACAACTTGAACGTCGCGGAGGAGAAACTTCAGGAATGCGCGGCGAAGGGTAAATGACTGGATTGTCTGCTTTCACTGGTTTGAGGGAAAGACACAAACGGAAAGTCTGAAGAAAAAATTGTCTGCTTTCATTGCTAAACATTATGACTTCATGATCCTATGGGAGATGCTCTTCAGTATATGTATTACTTACTGTAGTGTCTTGTATAGAGGCCTGTTTTGAATACAAGCCTGATTTGTAAGATTCACTGTCAGCACATAAGCCTGGCTGGTTTAGTGTTGACATACATAGAGATACGTGATTTGAATAGAAGCCTGACTTGAATACTGAGTAGAAGCGTAGTACTGATATCGGCTTACACGGCCGTAAGCACCTGCTTTTATACGCGACATTACGGTATCTGGATTGGGAGAAATTTGTTTCTCTCTGCATCGCAATAGCTTCTGTGCGCATTTGTGAGCCCATGCTTTCTTCTGCTCAGTTTAAGATGACAGGAATAAGCAGCTCTGTTCACGTTTATGAGCATTCTGAAATAATTGTGTAGGACATGAATGAACAGCAGGCATAATACTGTAGCGGACATGGAAATCCAGTCGATTGACCGGGGCCGGCGCCCTCAGCGCGTACAGAACACGCTGCGTGTAGTGCACTTGTTGATCCTATGCATGTGCGACCAGTGCGCTGCAGCGCATATGCATGATATGTGTGTACCGCTTATCCACGGCTGCATGGCCAGCGCCCTGGGGCCGCTGGACGTGTGACCGGATTTCCATGTCCACGACAGTACATTGACCCTCTCCCCACAACATGCACACATACCGGTACCACAATGTTTGCCATGTGCATGGGGATAGTTAATTTAGCATAAAACATTGGACAACACAGTGTGATGATATTCAGGAGGGTAAGCAGCAGCTTTCGGCCGGTTCATCGTTTCGTCTGTACTCCCCACCCCATGCGCTCTGCGGCCTACCTAGTTCACCACCAGCAACATGACTAGTAGCAGATACTAGTAGTGGCATCGATTCTTCCACACAGCTGTCTTGATCGTACAGATCTCATTGGTGAAGTTTGTAGGAGTACTGAATAGTTAGAACTTGCAAACTGAACTTTTTTTATCATTATACAGAGCATTACTATGCACACACCCTTTTTTCTTTTCTTTTGGAGGTATTTCGGTCGCGGTTTCCAACATGATATTGAGCCCGACTCGTGTCAGAAGCAACCATTACAAGTCCGTGCACTGTAGTTTTCCAGCTTTTGGAAGCTCTGGAGAAAATGTTCAGTTGCCCGCTGATACTTATGCTCAGGCTATGGCCTGGTGGTTGCCATGAGAACTGGGCGGATAGTGCACCTTATGAGAAAGATCAAGTCTGGACATCTATTCCTCTTTTCTTCCTCTCTATATATCTACTGGTACTGGTATTGTTGTTGTTGTTGTTTGATTGCAGGTGATGCCAGCGGTGTCATTGCTCTCGGTGGCGCGCTGAAGTTCAACGGCGGCGGTCACATCAACCACTCCATCTTCTGGCAGAACCTCTCACCGAATGGTGGTGGTGAGCCAACTGGTGAGTGTGCTAAGTTTGCACCGGACTCTGGTCAATTCAGACATGCTGCATGCATTCGGCCGCAATGACTGCATGCAACCAAGGCCTACTGGGCATGGCTTCGCATACTGTAGGTGCCAAGCTACCTGGAGACCGTCCAGTGAAGCTTGCTGGTCATAGCGTGGTGTTTGGTACACCGTACCCATTGCAGGTTATATTTGCCACACTTGCCACGTGTACTGATCTGCCTCTGCTGCCTCTTGTTCGCTGTCAAATCACAGGCGAGCTGAACAACGCCATTGTTACACAGTTTGGCAGCTTCGACGCGTTCAAGCAGAAGATGACCACTGCTGCTGTTGGCGTGCAGGGATCCGGCTGGGCCTGGCTGGTGAGTGTGTGATCTCAATCCCTACAAAGTCGGTGCACCCGCAATGCAACTGCAATGCACTATAATGCTGCCAAGGGGACAGCCATAGAACCTTGTAAAGGCCAGTCTGCTGAGGGCTTACTTATAGGGAGCCTGCAGGCAACGGCAGTGCACGCCTTATCACCTGACAGTCCTGATGCAAAGACTTTTTCTGAAGAATATTCATCAGTTTTTTAGGGAATGAATAAAAAGGGGAAAAGAAAAAAGCAATAATTGGTATGCGCCTTGTACTGGTGTCTTCACTCTTTCTTTGAGACCCTGACCGTGACAAATTCTTTTCTTTTTTTTAATCGTTGCATGATAGGGACTCAACAAGGAGACAATGCAGCTGTCAGTCTCCGCCTGCCCAAACCAGGATCCACTCCAGTCCACCACAGGTAGGAAAATCTGTTCTCTGTGTGTTCGAATTGCAATCGTGTGTATCTCTGCCCTGCAGTATGGGTGGCCGATTGTATCGTGATGTCACATTTTTTTTAAGAGTAAAGTTTGAAAACCCACGTTACCACCGGCCTACAATTGTGTTGAGAAATACAACCAGCCTAGAGAGGTTTTGCTCGTGCCAAGCCACCACCATGCCTGATTAAACCAGGGTGGCAGATGCAGCGCCTAACGGCAAGAGTGAGGTGGTAAATCTCACAACAAATGCCCGACAAGGGGGTAAACCTCGTTAGCTGCATGCGTGTTACCCTCACTCCGAGTAGTGAGTACCCCGTTGACCGTGGGTGCCATATTACATGTTTTACACTATCATTATAGTACATGTACGATGGAGCACGACTAAGTACACAAAACTACACATGTAGCACAAAATGTGACAAAGTGCTACGACAGGATAATTATAAGATTACCTGTTCGCGCTTGAGCTGCTTGTCCCTCCAGTAGTTCATGGGATTACAGTGGTTTTCTGTGAGAGCCACTTGGCCATTCTTATTACATGTACTGCGGAACCATTGTTGGCCATGATATTTAACTATTCAGCCTATGATTAGCCTATGATTATTAATCTGACATCCCTACATAGCACTGAGATAGGGTAGCAAGCCACTTGCTGTTATTCTTCTAGCACCAGCCAGGACTGGAGCATGACAAGGTGCACACACACACACACAGACACACACACACACACACACACACACACACACCTGTCCTGTCCTGTAGAGTCACTGCCGCAAAAGGGTCACGTGATCCCATCACTGGGAAACTTGAGAAGAGAGAGAGGACACGGCGCTCGATGACGCTCCAGGTGCATGGGTAGTCGCATCCGCTTGCCGCATATGCACACGTGCTGGAAGGCTGAGCGCTCCTCTGCTGTTGGTCTATGCGCCACCCTTGAACAGCGATGCCTGCCCCGTCCCCGGACACCGCGAAAGCAGCGACCACACCTGTCACAATGCGCGGCACATCCCTCCGCCGGTGCCGACGTTCCGGTAGCTCCAGGTGGCACTGTGGCATCCACCGTTGAGGCACACACATGCCGGACCAAGCCACCGCGGCTTCTCAGCCACCGCCCGCACTGACTGGCGCCCCGCTGCTCAGACACGCCGCGCACGCTCCTCCAGACACTTATGCCGAGCCATGTCTCCTTTCCGTGCAAAATCCCGTCCGCATACCGTACACACACACACTCACACACACCCTGGTGCATGCTCTTGGCGTGTCTCTCCGCGAATGTAAATGGTTGTGTGTGTGTGTGTGTGTGTGTGTGTGTGTGTGTGTGTGTGTGTGTGTGTGTGTGTGTGTGTGTGTGTGTGTGTGTGTGTGTGCAATGTGTGCAATGTGTGCAATGTGTGTGCAATGTGTGTGCATTGCAGGTCTTGTGCCACTCCTCGGTATTGACGTGTGGGAGCATGCCTACTACTTGCAGTACAAGAATGTCCGACCTGACTACCTGAAGGCCATCTGGAATGTTATCAACTGGGAAGATGTTGCATCTCGCTACACTGGAGCTCAATAGACATTGAAATAGAACCGTTGATCATCTGGTAAGCTACTTGAAGGCAATGTGACAACCACGAACCAGTGTTGGCTGCTATTTGTTAGTCGGATTTGTGCACTTTGCTGATATTCGGCTTGCTCTAAACTTGCGATGTTCGACCGGCTGTAAAGCTTGCTTTTACCATGTTGGGCATGTGCCGTATTGGCCATGTATCATCTTGCTTTCTGCTACTTTCGCTAGCTGTTTGCCGATCAATCTATCTGTCCCTAGTCTTAGTGAAACACTTTTTGTAGAACTAGTTTTCCTTCCCACTGGCAAGGCAAAGGGCCACCTGCAGTACTACTAAAAAGTAATTAGTAACTATTAAAACGTGTTGTGTGGTTCTACTGGCCTTGTTACCATTGTGCTTCAAGAAGTAGAACCGTGACCAGCCTTTTTTGCTGCTAGCCCCAATCTTTCGATCCATGAAATTCATGAAATGAAAATATTCCACCTGTGTGTGAGGCTCGAAGGCTGTTCAAGTCGTGCTGGATTATTCTGCGAGCACTAATTTAAACGCTCACACTGGGTGCAATAGAACGGGTTGTGCAGGTCCACTTGAGTCTCCTTCGGGGCTCATTTTCAGATTTATGTCCTTTTTTTAGTGGTGTGTTGCGCCTCTCTCCGCTTAGAACTGACTGTGCACCCTGAACCTTGGATGCGTACAGCTGGTTACACAGTGAAATATGACATATGTTAATACCAGGGAGTAGTGAAATACCCAAGACAATGTGTCTGGATACTACAACAACCATGACCAATCCTTTGTGTACCCTACGATGTCACTTGATGAAAATCTAGACCTGGCCATGGTGGGATTCAAGGGTCATTATAATGGTTCGTTTTGTCGAGGTAGATCCGACTTCACCTTTCATTGTGATCGCTGGTAGTCACTAGTCAGTATCACTTTTGACTTAGTGAAACTCCGAGTAGCAACCAAACCCAGCTCTCCCTTCTGTCTAAGAAAGACTATCCAAATCGTTGGAAGAAAACCATCACAATCTTTTGAAGGACACCTCATGGCTACATTTTGTTGAAAATATTGACACACTTGGGAATTGCAGGGAAAAAAAGATATTGCACGACACTGACCAACGGTACCGATTTCCTCTCCTTATGTTATTTCTTTCTTTTTTTAAAGATAAAGAAAGAAAGAAAAACTTTCAAAATCGGCTGCACTCATAGCCCTGGAAAAATGGCAGTCTGGGCAAGTGAGGTTCCGGATAATTTTTATGCGGATAAATGAGGTTCTACTGGAACCAAAATGCGGTGCCACGTAAATACTCAATGGTCAAAATGTGGCAGTGGGGGGATATGCCGGCATGTGGATAAATAGTATTCATAATTATATGCTCTTTAAAACAGACTTCACAGAAACCTGTTGGTACCAGTGGCATCACTGGTCACCATGTGTAGATGAGCACATATTCACGAGCAGGTTTCAGTAGTAAAATGCCTTCTTGCTCCTGTAATGGAGTACTATGGTAGTACTGGGATGATAACACCAGCCTTTGCAAACAAGTATACTTCTATAGCAGCATATACTGGATACCGATATAATTATTTTTTGAACTGTCACCAATGTATGCTTGGTCTGTAGAGTATATAATAAGTTAAAATAACGGTGCATTTGTGGCACACTGCTTAGCGTGCTACGGGGCTGCGCTCATTCTTCTGTCTTCCGAGACTTGCAACCAGCAGGAGAAGCTTTGCTAACCGCGTGGAAGTGCATCACAGCTCGCTCAGAAGGACAAGGAAAGTGTCCCAGTTCCCACTGGCTGCATCTGCCAGGCTACTAACCACAAGTACATCGCTGCAGCGCAAAGCAAAGACACCATGGATACCATGCAACACAAAATCAATTATTGTTACCTGAAGGCATGAAAGTACTAGTATGCTCATGGGAAACCTTTTTGAAATATTGCTTGTGAAGAGCCTGAAGTTTGTTCTCGTTCTAAGTGTGATTGCAGTTTGTCCCCGAGAAGGTTTCATAATCAGATACCGTACCTTGCAATTCCTGCATCCGCGCACAGAAAATTGACTTGTGTAGCGTTATAATCTGAGGACTTAAAAAGTTCAAAGCGACACTGCTACTGTCCACTAATCCTATTTGCAAGTAAGTGCTTCGAATTGGACGTAGTGCTTGCTCGAAATGTGCTGCCACGGCTCACCTCAGCGGCTCGTTAACACCTTCGAAGTGCAGCTCCAGATGCTGTGCGGACTGGAGAAAGTGTATGGCTAGCTGGGCCTTGACATCACCCACTGTCGTCGTCCCTCGCAGGGCAAGTCTGTTCAGTCCGCAGTAGTTACAACAACAGATACAAAGAGAAGAGGGGAGAGGGAGAGAGGCCATTCAATACTCTATCAGATAAAATCACTTTGGCTTGCGAGAGCAATAATAAGTACCTTATTTTCCGGAGTATAAGCCGCACTTTGAACGCTCAAAATTCACCCAAACGAATGGGGGTGCGGCTTATACTCCGGTGATCAAATTAACGATGATAAATATGGTAGATGTCTGTGTTTCTTGGCAACAAATGGGGGAGCGACTTGTACGCCAATGCGGCTTATATTCCGGAAGATGGAGTAATTGTCAGGCTAATGGCTATCTATCTATCTAGCCTTTCAATCCACTTCGCTATCCGTACACAACATGCGTCCAGACAAATTGTCAACTTTTGAACACCATTACATCAGGCATGCTAGGGCCCAGTGCTGATAACGAGTGCTGGTGTTGATGGGTTTGTCAATGTTTTTTTGTTTTGTTTTAAATACTATTGCTGCAAAGTAACCTGGTGATGGGTTTGTCAATGTTTTTGCCGCAAAATAACCTGAGCTCTACACCAGTTAAAAAAAGCATGCAGCTCACCGCAAGCTTCCACCGTCATCGTTCGTTCCCAGTATATTCACGTCCGATCCGGACACCGATGCCAGTTGATCCAATGCCAGCGAGTCTTCCAGTTCAGCTATGTCTGCACATTCAGGCACCGGATGGAAAGCTCTCGTATAATACACGTCTGTCTGATGGCAACTTAGATGCAAAAGTAATTTAAATTTAAATTCAGAGATACACGCCCGTGTCAAAGCCAGCTTGGTCTTCAGCATGCAACCACATGTTGTATACGCATTACACCTATAGATGGTCAACCTGCAATAGAATACTCTGCTAGTCATGTAGTATGGGATCTTTGGGGGTTGTGACAAGGAGTACATGGGGCAATTTTAAAAACTGCTGCTCCCATACTGGAGGCCGCAGAAATATATCGGATCATGGCTGGCCTCCTAACCTATCTGCTATTAACATTAGACCCGGCTTAGATCGGCGTTTGTGATAATACCGGGATCCAGTGTCTCTGGTGACTCACAGTTTCATAACGTCAAGCACACTCCCAATTCCCAATCACTGAGTATATCCTAACTGGCAACTGGAGATGGCCAGATGGCCAGATGTTCAGAACTGACATACTACATACTACATTATACTAGTCCTAGTAGTCTACTACTCTACCTTCTTGGTTAGAGAATGTAAGCACGAAGTGTCGCTTCGACGCATCCCTGAACGACTCCGGCCACTGGTAGCCCTTTCCTTGTGGCATCGTCGATGGAGACCTGATGATATCGGCTGGAGAATCCTGAATCATATCATGTGCACACGCGAACGCACTACTTTCCGAAAGGTTTGCTTTTCGCAGACGAAAACAGTGTGAAAGGGGAGCACAGTACTTGTACATGATTGTATATTGTCTGTGTGTGTGTGTGCGTGTGTGTGTGTACGTGTGTACATGTGTCCCATATGGTGCAGTGGTATGTGCGGCGATTTCCAATCGATAGGTTGCGGGTTCGATTCCCGAAGATTATGGTCACACACGTCTTTCTTCTCTTTCTCAGACTCCTCCTGACTTTTCCTTCATTCTCCTGGGTGGTTACCAACAGCCAGTACAGTAGTAGTGTGCAGTGCATGCCGGAGTATGTGGTGTGATGTGTGTGTGTTAAAAGAATGAAAAAGACCAAAAATTAGGGATTCACTGGCCAGAAAAAGCCACTTCATAGCTGTGTGGTGTAGACCAGGCTGAATAGTGGTGGTCAATTCTTCAGTCTTGAAAGCTGTTGAATGGTGCAATCCCAGCACAAGCTGCTAGGGCTTCTGCTGTAGCATCGCTATCATCGCCTCCGGCGATGGGCGTCACATGGTGTGCGTGTGTGCTTGTGTGTTTGTGGGTGCACGCGTGCACGCACCTGCATACATCAAACCGTTCAGTTATACAGCCAGGGTATGTCATGCATGCACACCACAGTGATGGCAGTCTTCAACTTGTGACCATAGCCCTCACTCACCACTTCGCCTTTGGCCATGATGAAGTGAAGCTTCCGACCGCTGGCCTTGCGCGGACCACGGACGACTTTCAGGAGCTTGTGTGGCTCTATTTGTTCAACACCTGGGTCAGTTGAAACACGCACAGTATGCCGGAATGTAATATCAGTTCAAATCGTGTCCGCTTCAAAGTCAGCTGTATGAAACTTGGTTCAACTTCACACACCGTAAATTTCCCAGTTCAGAGCCACCTGTGCGACGGAGTCACAGTGATTTTGGTTCACGCAGCCAGAGCTATGCGGTCTACAAGTTGTGTGGAGCTACCCTCCCTGATCAAGGCACGGTCACACGTATAGGTTGGTAATATCAAATTGCCTGCAATGCGGCACAGGCACGTACCATCACGAGTAGTAGTAGTAGTGATCCGCGCGTGGTAGTACATGTTGTTTGTTGTCCGTGACCGTCGTGCTGCTGCCGGTCTGCCGTCCGTCGTTGTCGTGGCAACGGGCTGGCTTCGAGGCGGCCGCGTCGAGCTCGGTGCCGTGGCTGCAGCCGGCACGTCCGTGCTAGGCTCTGTTGTCTTAACGTGACTGCACACCACGCCGTGCTCCAGGTTCATGATCACTGGCTGACGTGGTATACTGTCCTCGTCGATCTTTGGTGTCCTTGCCGCGTGAAGGCTTGCTTTGGTTGGCTTTGGTTGGGCCATTAGCTCGGGTACCTATTGTGGTGTGGGGAATAAGGCCGTCAACAGGCAGTGTGCAGCAGAATGTTAGTTAACGTTAGCAGAGAGCCAGAACTTTGCAGCTTTGAGAACATTGTGCGGCAGGCATGGGTTTATCGCCATTTCATCATGTGCATTTACTGCCTTTTCGCCACTGGTAGGCCTTTCCCAAATCGGCCGGCCGAAAAATTCACCGAAAAGTAGCCTTTCCAGAAAATCGCCGATCTTTTGGCCGAATTCAGAGATTTTGCCAAGAAATCGCCGAATATACATGTTTTGCAGGGTCGTGGGCAACTGGGCATGACCGCTCGTGCGCGCCTGCGTCACGGCCCGAAAATAGTGGTTTTGAAGAAATCACCGATCTTTTTAGCCGGATACGCAAGTTTCGCACTGAATTCGCCGAAAATTGATGTTTTAGTGCCTCAATAGCATGCAAATACAATTTCTGTAGCCATTATCTGCATAAGGTGGCTGCGACTTTAGAGCCGAATTTCCACCTTTTACAGAAATTTTCAGCCGATTCTGGCGATTTTTTCAGCCGATCGAAAAGCCGAATAGACCAAAATAAATGGCCGATTTGGGAAAGGCCTAGCCACTGGTGTGCATTGCCCCCCTCCCCAAATCACACCCAGGCCCAGGGTAGTAGTAGTAGTACTAGTAGTAGAAGGGTATTACTATTTGTTTGATATGTCAGAATATTCGTCCGAAGACGATCGACCCACGACCATAGAAGACTGTATTAGAATATAATTTATTACTACGACATTGTCACAATGTGGTGACAGGAAACACAACAACTGGACTCTCCAGTCAAAGGGAAAAGAACCAGGCCAAAACCGTTTGGCTGCACCCACAAATAAAAGGGATAAAGGACGCGCAAATATGAATGCTCGAAAAGACGCAAACAATCACAATCCGGAGTGGAATAATTACAACTCGTCACATATCTGACACTCCCCCCGATTGACCACAAGTCTAATAACATTATAATTAACAGATTACTCAACGCGATACAACACGTTCAATAAATAATTACATGTCCAGAACATTATGAGCATTGAATGATAGCTGCATAAGCTCATAGCGGTGGTCAATCAGACCTGTGGGGTAACTCATAATTATTCTGACTTCAAATTAGTCCACGGTTTCTTAACTGCATCGGCAACGCAGCCGCTTGTACTGCCGCCGCTCGCTGTGGCCTGACGGATTGCAATGGCTCATTCTCAGGTGCTTGACGATTCGGAACCGTGACTGCTTCCTCGGCACAGACTTCGAGTGGGTAGAGACGCTGGATGGGCCTCTTCAGGTGCGTAACGCTACCTTTCTTCGGTGTTGCGGTTTTGACCTTCGCTGCACGAGCAATGCCATCATGACCCGGGATTAACTCGACTACTAGGCCAAGAGGCCACTGTTGGCGCTTTGCGTTCTCGTCTTCGATGAGCACCACATCCCCGACGCGAATAGGTGTGGCGTTGGCATTGAATTGTTGGCGGTGGGCATTCCTTAGTTCCAGCAGGTACTCACGACGCCAACGAGTCCAGCTATGTCGTATGAGTTGTTGTAGGTGCTCCGCTCGCTCTCGTACGACTTCAGCTGTGGCTGCACGTGGGATATGCTCCGCATCTGGCATGGACCTAAGTCGACGGCCGAGTAGCAGATGCGATGGCGTCAACGGCTCCGTCCATTCTTCCGTAGAGAGGAAGGTCAATGGCCTGGAGTTGAGGGTACATTCGACCTCTGCCAGCACCGTCACCAGCTCCTCACCAGACACATATGCATTGCCCAACACTTTGCGGAGGCAACGCTTGACGCTTTGCACAAGTCGCTCGAAGAAGCCTCCCCACCAAGGGGCCTTCTCCACATTGAACTGCCACTGAATGTGGTGTTCAGCGGAGAACTGCTGACATTCAGCAGATTGGGCGATACTGCACAGCTCACGCGCTGCTGCCTCGAACGTCTTGCCGTGGTCACTGATGACAAAACACGGGAACCCACGACGTGCCACAAATCGCCGAAAGCATCGCATGAAGGCTTCCGTTGTCAGGTCACTGACCAGCTCCAGGTGGACAGCACGACTCACAGCGCAGGTGAACAGAGCTACATATGCCTTGACTTTGCTGCCGCCTTCATTGACATACAGAGGGCCAGCAAAGTCAACACCCACGTTCCGGAATGCCTCCTCGCCACTTACGCGCTCAGAAGGCAGCTGGGCACTGGTTGATGCAGCGTACGGCTTCGTGTTCACCCTCTTGCAGTGCTGACAGCCACGTACGATGGTGCGCACAAACTGGCGGCCTCTGACAATCCAGTAGGTAGACCGGAGCTCCGTGAGTGTCTCGTTGACACCGCTGTGCAGGACGGCAGCATGACAGCGTCTCACGATCATGGCCGTGATTGGATGGTCGCGTGGCAAAAGTGCTGGATGTTTCTGCGCTGTGGTGAGGGCGGCATTGCGCAATCTCCCCCCGCATCTTCGAATACCTTGATCGTCGACGAAGATACCAAACTCGTGTGACAACTTCTCAAAGTTGGAATCAGCAACTAACTGTGCTTGGCAAGTACGAATCCACAGTGCCTCTGCCTCCTTCAGATCAACTGCAGAGATGACAGGCTGGCATGCTGTGTTGGTTCGACGCAGCTGCAAGATGGTGACGAACTTCCGGACATACGCTGTCACTCGGACCAGTCGACTGAATGTGCTGAAGCGTTCGATGTCAATGATTTGATGAATTGAGGGGTGACTGGCTGTGGTGGTCGCAAGTGTGGCTGTTGTTGGCTGCCGCTTCAACTCCTGATGGGCTTCTTGTATCACCACATCATCGTCCCGACTCTCAGTTGCTACCAGCTCCTTTTCAGCCAGCCAAGGAGGACCATTGAGCCACAGCTTCGCGTCGAAGCTGGATGGCTGGACTCCCCGCGAGGGTAGATCGGCTGGGTTCAGCGTTCCTGGGCAGTGCGACCACGCTGAGCTGGGTACAAGGGATCGCACTTCCACCACTCTGTTCTGTACAAAGGTCTTCCACTCTCGCGTGTCCCCACGGATCCAGTGTAGAGCGATCATGGAATCTGTCCAGCATGCGATTCGACTGACAGAGACGTAACGTGCCAGTGCCTTGCGAACACGGACAATCAGACGGGCGAGGACGAGTGACCAACGAGGGAGCTGCGGATTGTGTGACCTCCGAGGGAGCTGCTTGAATCCGGCTCGAAGGACCATGTTTGATATGTCAGAATATTCGTCCGAAGACGATCGACCCACGACCATAGAAGACTGTATTAGAATATAATTTATTACTACGACATTGTCACAATGTGGTGACAGGAAACACAACAACTGGACTCTCCAGTCAAAGGGAAAAGAACCAGGCCAAAACCGTTTGGCTGCACCCACAAATAAAAGGGATAAAGGACGCGCAAATATGAATGCTCGAAAAGACGCAAACAATCACAATCCGGAGTGGAATAATTACAACTCGTCACATATCTGACACTATTGATTACTGTGACCTAGTACTAGTAATAGTTTTACCTCCGATGGTTGCATGACTGCTGGCAGCGACTGGCCATGCGGAGCAGGCAACGGTGCTATCTGCGACCCGCCACCTCCCATTCTCACCGGCACCGGCGTTCAGTGTCGCCTGTGTTGATCGTTGTATGAGCACTGGATCTACATGTACGTCACTGCTGCTCTCACTCTCACTCTCACTGCGGCTGGTTTGAGTACTGCAAGGTTGGTAAACGCTAGGCTGGATATGTCCTTCGATACTGACACTGTGCTGGCAGGTGAATGATCGAAAGAACGACTTTAACTTACAACAGCAATGTAGTCCGAAGTGAAGCGTCGGTACTGTATAATTATGCTTTACCGCACCGAAACCTGAATGTGATACTCCTGCCAGCGGTGCCAAATCTTTCTCGCTGGCGTTGTTGTTGATTTTTTAATTTTACTTCGCCAATTGCACAGGCATGATTGCCTTCTCACCGTCCCATACGTGACCTCAGATCAGTGTCTCTGGCAGCGGTGGATTTTTTTTTGAACTTTGTTTTTACTTCGCAAAATCCAAACGGGAATTTCTTCCCAATGACAAGGTACCGGTAGCGAAGACTACATGTCAGTGGATCTTTATGACTCGAGTTACTCAGCTCAATCGAGTCCACTACTTTCTTCTCTCTTCACTCACTAGATCTATGTATACTGTACTGTAGTCTGTGTAGACACTACTCTTCCGAGATTGGTTACCATGGTTACTGTCTTTGTAGTTGATAATAATTATTTCTTTGCGTCAAGCTGCAAGGAGATTGATATGTCGCTACCAGGGAGTCGTAAAATACCGGTATTTTACGACTCCCTGGTTGCATGCTATAGTAGGCACTTCAGTCACGTGACAAGACCTGTCAAATTTTGCTGAGGTCTGAGTGCATACTTGCGTGGTATCAGCCAAGTGCATGCGCAAAACTGTACAGGTACGCACCATGCTTCGTTGTACGGGCATGTAGTTCAGTGCATCGTGCTGCTCTGACGTTCAGCTTTCAGTAGAGCCTACATACGTCATAGTGCGTACATTTTTACGACTTGCAGGTCATGTACACTTCCGGAATTCCAGCAAAGAGTTTTTTCACAAGGAAATGTTGTTAGTACGCGTTGGAAACGTTGCCTATCGTCTTCAGCGTCGTGTTTCCATTCAGAAACAGTTGAGTTCTTGTTCACCAGGGTTTGCGCATAGCTGCGCAAGGAGGAAATATGGACGTAGATAGTGAGGAGAAGGGCTTGAGGCGGAGGAGAAAGATGCGTCGTCGTCCTACCTGAGCCAGTTTCAAAGCGTGCTGAAAGCCAATGTTTGACCCTGTTGTGCTTGAACGGCTACTGATGTTTACGAACAATCAAACGGCACAGTGGCTACAGGAGAAATCCTCCGATGACAGGGACACTTTGATCGACGCATCCAGGCGCGCTGCACCAAAATTCTGTTCGAATTTCGAGGCTCGCCAGCAGACAATTCATGACTGCTGTATGGAGCAAGTGAAGGAGAGCGGATCAGGTAGCACACGCAAGAGAGAACAACATCAAAAGGAAATGGAGACTTTGACGAAGATCACGGCTGTTGGTGGACTCTGGATCTCGAAGGAGGCAGCACAGGAGCAGCTCTCAAAAATGTTCTGTGTCACTGGCGAACGCCTTGCTCTCAATTCGCAGTTTCACTTCTGCAAGTTTATTCTGCTGCAGAAGGTCCGAAGTAATTTAGTTTGCACTTTCTACTGGTACAAAGGAGCTGCCAATAGAGAAACTGGTTTCCAACATCGAACCTCTGTTTGAAGTGGCGTTAACGTGTGCACGTGCGTTGTGTATGCAGAAATTCCGCTTTCAATTCATTTAGCAGATGCTATCTCTGTGTGCTTACCTTCTGAGTGCCAGAAGAATGTCTTTTATAGCATTTAGCAGCGGCAGTTGCCTGCTGGTGAACTCTAATGTCGATACTAGCTTATTTCACAGCAAACCGAAGCTGTTACTATGGGGTTGCCATGGGTTACTATGGGTTGCTATGGGGTTGCTATGGTGATTGTGGTAACAATTGCCGTATTCTGGACTATTGTGAACTTTGGTAAGTATTTTGTTGATCCATAAACGGTTGTTGGTGTTTGTGAGAGCCGTGTGTTTGAAAATGCCACTCTGATGTTTTGTAACTATATCCACTGATAACACTTTGGGGATGCTGTTGATACCACAAATTGTATTGCTTTCGCCTCATGCAATTGCCTCTCTTCAACCCTTCATATCTCACTTGTGTCTTTGTGGATTTCAATGAAATTTTGTGTGTGGCCTCGTGATACCCACCACTGTCGATTTACGATGCTAAACCTGGGAGAAACCCGACTTGAAAAAACCGGCTGAAGTGCCTAGCTATAGGTAGGCACTTCACCCCATTTTTTGAAATCGCGTTTTTTCCAGGTTTATCATCGGTAATCGATGGTGGTGGGTATCACAAGGTCACACAGAAAATTTTATTGAAATCCACAGTGATACCACTCAGATATGAAGGGTTGAAGATAGGCAGTTGCATAAGGCGAAATCAATACAATTTGTGGCACCAACAGCATCTCCGAAGTATCATCAGTGGATATAGTCACAAAACATCAGAGTGTTTTTTTCAAGCACACATCACTCACTTACACCAACAACCCTGTATGGATCGAAACAATACAGATCAAAGTTCAGAATAGGCAAGAATACGGCAATTGTGACCGCAATCACTATAGCAACTCCATAGCAACCCATAGCAACGCCATAGTAACAGCTTCAGTTTGCTGTGAAATGAACTGATAACGACATACTGGCAGGGTCCTGCGGGTACTAAAGCGTAAGAGCTATAAAGACATTCTTCTGGCACAAAAACAACAGAGAACTTCCTCGTTGTACGCCGTACACCGCAACGTGGAGGATAAGTACGCGCGCGCGCGCGAATTACTGCACAGGACATTCGTGCCCACAGTCATGCCATCTCAAGTGATTCCAAGTTGGCAAGAAGTTCCTCAGGACCTCTGTTGGTAGCTTCTTTCCATGGTGTGATATCTGCCTCCCCCTCCTTCAACTGCTCCATGCAGCAGTCATGAATTGTCTGCTGGTGAGCTTTGAAATTTTGGTGAAGCGTGCCTGGCTGCGTATATCAAAGCATCCCCTCATCAGAGGGTTTTCCAGCAGCCACTGTGCCTTTTGATTGTTCGTAAACATCAGTAGGCCTTTCAGCACAACCGTGTCAAAACTTGGCTTTCAGTACGCTTTGAGAATTCGCCCTGGTAGGACGACGCATCGTCGTTCTCCTCCGCCTAAAGCGCATACTTCTTAGTGCCTACGTACATAATGTCTCCTTGCGCAGCGATGCGCAAGCCCTGGTAAACAAGAACTCTACTGTTTCCGAATGGAAAGACGACGCTGAAGACGATAAGCAGCGTTTCAAACGCGAGCAAACAACAGTTCTTTGTGAAAAAACTCTTTGCTGGTAGTGTACGTGATCTACAACTCGCAAAAATGTACGCACTATGACGTGTGCGGGATCTACTGAAAGCTGAACGTCAGAGCAACACGATGCGCCCAACTATCAGCCCGTACAACGAAGCATAGCGCGTACCTGTACAGTTTTGCTGTGTACGGGCAAAACATAAAATAAAGACAATCAATGATTAGATCGAGCGCACGCGGTGATGATCATGTACAATGTCATTAATGACACTTGACAGATAATAATGTAAGCCTCAAGCTGAGATTCTTGCTTCAGCAACAACAAGCGCTGCCGAGTCTGAGGCCATTGCTGGTAAGAATGCCTTGCGTGCACCACGCAAGCACATCAGCGCTGAACGGACCAGTGCAAAGCCAATCTGGCAGCGGATGGCAGCTAGGGTGATGCTGTATGGCTCCCCAGTCTTGGCAGCGAGGAGAGAGGCGATGCGTTTGTAGAGCGAAGCACCATGCTTTCCCATGCCTCCGGTGGTAGAGAAGATGGCGGGGACAAAGCTGGAATGCTCCACCTCCCTCAGGCGCTGCTCATACGCACGACGCTTAGCCTTTTCATGACGGACATAGGTAGCAGCAAGTGAGTTGGAACGGTTCGAAGACGCATGGGGGTTGAATACCCGTACATCAATGTAGGTGCGTTCGAACCGTCCTCCCCAAATGCCACTAGCCACGACGTCTAGGCGTGCCTGGTCGTCAGCAATAGCAGTGCGATAACGGAGTTGCTCTCCGGAGAGTGGCTGGAGGTGTGGCTCAACTGCCACCTGATGGGCCACCCGCCTGAGCAGACGAGCAGTGAGGTCCCTCACCTCGTTGTGACGAATGGACGGAAATCCACCCGTCGGACACGAGATTTTGCGCATGCACTTGACTGGTGCCACGCAAGTACGCACTCTCGATCTCACCTAAGTCCTTAGCAAATTTTGACAGGTCCTGTCACGTGACTGAAGGGCCTTGGAATTTGGAAAGCGCGCAGAGGTGTCATGACGTCACGACATAGCCGGGGTTTTCCCGAAATCAAAAGGTCCAGCTCGAAGACGATGCAGTTTGATGTCGCAACACACGTACACAGACATTGCAGTTTGACTTTTTCCTTCTCTTTCCACTGTCTGAATTGGAAAATGTCGATCCTGTCGAGTGCGTGTCGCAGATTATCACAGAGTCTGCTGTCTGGCAGCTCTTGTGGGTGTTCCAGACCAGTGGTCGGCCAATGGGCTAGATTTGCCTCTGACTCAGCACCAGATAAAACCAACGAAGTGAAGCAACAAGACGAGAAAGACCTCCATCCCGATCGGGAGAGAGAGCCTCTGAAGCAGCATCCAGGTGGAATCAATCCCGTCACTGGTGAGCGCGGAGGGCCCGCTGGCCCAGAGCCGACTCGGTATGGCGACTGGGAGAGAAAAGGTAGAACATTTGATTTCTAAAATTGTGTCGAATTCATCGTTGTCATGAGCACTGCCTCATAACCACGGACTTGCATTTGAAAACTTGAGAACAGATATGAAACCACTTGTTATAATTATTTATATCGTCACGTTTACGGTTGTCAGTATGAAGAATAGTTTTTAGATTTAATATGTGTATCCATGAAACACACCCATCCATCTACATTGTAGCCTTACTATCTTCTTAGTTCAGCTGTGCGTGCTGTGTTTTGTTGATCTTTGCAACTTCTTCATGATACCATGATGCTGACACGCTGATTGTGTCTTACTACTAGGGGTATGCTAACTGACGTATTCATTGTAGTATTTACATCATTTGCAGCTACATCTGTGCTCTGCGGAAAAATCAGACACCACGCTTTTCCTGTGGTTCGAAACCAACCTCCATACGAAACTGAAGTTCATGCACCTAACATTTAGAGATCGAGAGTTGGTACTCCAACGGATCAAGCAAAAGCGGTTGTGCTGGTACGAGATGCTGTGGGTGTGCATGTTGGAGTGCAGGGTGCGGTTCAGGCAAGTTACAAAAGAAAGGCAGCATGCCGTGCATTGACCGTCACAGTTTCATAATCACCAACGGGTACATGTACTCTTGGGATAACCAAAGAGTACATAATGTAGATGTACGACGTTGCACGTTACGTAACGTCATTGCACTTCCGCACTGGATAGAATCTTTTTTGTATGGCCTTCTTTGCACTTTTTTCATCTGATGCCATCAGGGCTTCAGACTTTGTGGCATTGTGTGTACCGTTGTGTCACGTATTAAAGTTGGGCTTATTCCTGTAGAAGCCGATGTCAGGGCTAGGCTTCTATTCACACCAGGCTTCTATTCAAACCAGGTACTTCAGAAGTATTTCTGTGTGTCAACGCTAAAACCAGACTTCTTATATATGAGACGGGCTTTAATACGAGACACTGCGGTATGCAATTGTTGCCTGGTATTCTCCGCGGGGAAAGGCTTCGAGGAGAGGCGATGTTGGATTTTTCACTTATTCACATTACAGTAGAATATGTATGGGAACAGGTTAGGGGTCAAAATGGGTACTAGTACCCAGAGTGTCATTTTGAGGAGCTGGAGTGTGTCTAATTACTGGAGTACTGCAGAAGAGAATGAGACATGGAGAAAAAATTAGGGGATGTGGATGTTTTAGATGGATGTGTGACCGCTCTCTCTCTCTCTCTCTCTCTCTCTCTCTCTCTCTCTCTCTCTCTCTCTCTCTCTCTCTCTCTCTCTCTCTCTCTCTCCTCCCTCTCTCTCTCCCTCTCTCTCTCTCTCTCTCTCTCTCTCTCTCTCTCTCTCTCTCTCCCTCCCTCTCTCTCTCCCTCCCTCTCTCTCTCTCTCTCTCTCTCTCTCTCTCTCTCTCTCTCTCTCCCTCTCTCTCTCCCTCCCTCTCTCTCTCTCTCTCCCTCTCTCTCTCTCTCTCTCCCTCTCTCCCTCTCTCTCTCTCTCTCTCTCTCTCTCTCTCTCTCTCTCTCTCCCTCTCTCGACAGCCGAACCCTCTGGAGACAGCCCTGGGGGCTGCGGGTAATCGGCACTCTACTGTACCTGAAGCATTCTTCAGTGTGCAGCGTATTGGACCATGGTGGTGGTGATGATATAGCTCGTGGACAATCATTGAAACTATCATAGGAGAAATGTGCCTTGCACAGGTTATTACTTCTAGCATCATGCTAGGTTTCCAGAACCCAGCAGAAAATAATAGAAAAAATTGGCATGTATTCATCAAAAACTCACTGTAGATCTACAAATACAAGGCATGAAATGCTCCCTAAACAAATTCCGCTACAAGTTGAATGAAACTAGTGTTTCTAGCTACAAAATCAAATCAAATGTTACTCAGTATAGCAACGTATGTAGAAAATATTATGTGTTAGTTGTTACACAGAACTCATATCTCCGGTGTGTTAAAATTGTTTAAAAAGTGTTTTCCTGTGATGCAGCCATGACCGTCCACAGTAAAGACTAAAACGTTAGGTAATAGCTGGCGCCTGCACATTCTCAGTAAAGACTAACGTTAGTGAAGGTAATGTGCACATTCTCAGTAAAGACTAAAACGTTAGTGAAGGTAATGTGCATATTCTCAGTAAAAACTAAAACGCTAGTGAAGGTAATGTGCACATTCTCAGTAAAGACTAAAACGTTAGTGAAGGTAATGTGCATATTCTCAGTAAAAACTAAAACGCTAGTGAAGGTAATGTGCACATTCTCAGTAAAGACTAAAACTCCCTCAAACCAGTTAAAAGACTAAAACGTTAGTGAAGGTAATGTGCATATTCTCAGTAAAAACTAAAACGTTAGTGAAGGTAATGTGCACATTCTCAGTAAAAACTAAAACGTTAGTGAAGGTAATGGCTGCCGCCACATTCTCGGATGAATACCTCCGGCAGCACGATATCGAGAACAAAAATAATGGCTTGCTCAGCACGCGCAGCATGCTTAGCTGAAAACGCATTCGGACAACGTCGCTCTGGTTCGGGGAGTTGTTAAAGTGATGGCATAGCCCATCAACACATGCAGGAAGGAGCGATTAAAAAGGGGTGGATGAATACCTAGTACCTCCATCAGCACCACATCAGGAACAGATAATACAATAGGGACTGTGCCAGACGTGCAGCAATGCATTTGGACAAAATTGGATCAGGTTCGAGGATTTCTAAAGTGACGACAACACCCATCACCACACGCAGGAAGGACTGATTCAAGCGTTGAGGAAGTTCAACAAGCTTCTCCCCAGGTGCACCAGGAGATTGGAGATACCCATTAAATCTCCAGCAAAGTAGGACAGCGAGTCGGACGATACCTCTTGAATATAAGTGAGCTGACACATATTGCTATTGAGCTGACATGCATCGCTGTCCTGTTCAGCAGGCTCAATCACATACCCAGAGCAGGTCATCTGTGTTCACAGACAGGCACACATACGCACGCACATGCGCGCACACACACACACACAATGCCAGGAGCGCAACAAACAACGGCATTGGTCGCGTTCTGTGGCATGAATGCACTGTTCAACGGGTCACAGGACCCCAGTCCATCACGCAAATAACCTACAGCACAGTAGTAGTGCAACAGACTGCAGACTGTCTGAACATGAGGGTGAACTTCACCTGTAAAGAAACTCTACAAGGCAAACTGTCTTATCTGTATTAAGGCAATAAATAGTAAAAGCGAAGCGGACATTACGAAATGATCAATGAGAATACATGTATGTTAAAATTGATGTTCCTAATCGATTTTCTTGAGACTATCATCAGGGAAAAATCGTCTCACAATCATTTCGTAATGTCCGCTTCGCTTATACTATTTATCGCCTTAATAAAGTTACTGTCTCCTCGTCGCCTATTCATTGTCTTATCTGTGCGAGTTTCAGTTGAACGGACGCTGCATCCAATGTTGGGAAAATCATGTGAAAAGTAGAGGCCCCTCTCAACTAGAAGCCCTGCTTACATTGTTGAATGGCAGTTGCTCATTCGACATCGGACTGGAACACAGATACGAAGGCAACGTTACTGAAATAATGAACTTCCCTCTGCAGCAGAGGGCTCTCGCGAATTCAAGCCCCATCCACACGGACATTCAACAATAAAAAAACGTCTTCTAATAAATTGAGTACGGTATCCGATTACTGTAAAAGCCATATATATAACGAAGTGCTAACTCTAACGAGTTAACGAGGAGAAATCTATCGTTAAAATAGAAATCGTTATACAAAAATCGACACATATACTGTCCTATTGAGCGTTGAGAATGAGTGAGAATCGTTACCTTTGGTACATGTAAACTACCGTAAAAGTCCGTAAATAAGTACGTATTTACTTTCGAATTTAGTGACCACACCCGTACTAACTTTCGGGCGGGTACTGACTTTCGGGCACGAACAAACTTTCGGACCTGACTTGTGTGTAGTGGAGAAGTCATTTTCATGTCGATGTACATGCTACGTGCTGCATGTGCGCACCGTACCGGTACTTATTTCGGGCAGTATGTTTATCGGGCTTGACTTGACTTCAACAGACAGAGCCAAAAGAATGAAGGGGGTATTTCTTTCGGGCAGGTACTTATTTACGGACTTTTACGGTAGTCAATTTTGGGAAATCGTTATATATGCGCCTCGTTAGAATAATGGCTTTTACAGCACTAGTTAGAACAAGGCAAAACAAGCACGCCCATATTCGTTGGGGCATCATGGCAAGTTTGCTACAGTGTACGAGTGTTACGTCCAGGAACACAATATCAAACTTACAATGCCCCGGTCAGCGTTTTCCGTAGGTGGATACTTGAGGTGGCGTACTGATCGGAAACAAACCGTGAATGCATCCCTGCATGGGCGAGAATCAGTGCACGCAGCGACATACCTCTGCTGTACACCCTCAAAGCAAAGCAGTATCCATGCCCCACCTCCTTATACACCCACATAGCCAGCGAACACGCAATACCCCCACCCCCTCCTCACACACACACACGTACACCTTGACCTTGACCTTGCCCCTTGTGTAGCAATGATAGTGTGTTGTCATTTCTCCAGTCCATGACAAAAGAAGGACTGCAGAAATAACCTCTTGTGCCTGTGAAAGGTACAACTCTTTGCTTGCCACCAACAGCGGTCACGACAGCTAATTCCTGGCATCCACCGCACGGAAAATAACTGCTTCAGTGACAGGAAACGTCCAGGAGGGCAGAGCCTCAAAAGAGGCACACGCACGCACACCCGTGTGCACAAACACACATGCACATGCACACACACACACACACACACACACACACACACACACACACACATTGCCGAAGTGATGACAGCGAACGAGCTATGCTAACCCGCATGCACACATACTGTACAGGTACTTCGAAGTACTACACTGGCAGACGGCACCTACCCTTCGGCGTGTGGTGTGCGTGCCGACATCAACACGACAAAATCCTGGTTTTTCTGTTGGCCAGGACGAGGAGCATAGTGAACATGAAGAATAGCATCTTGTTCCGTGTACTGTTCAACAACATCAAATGATCTGTAAGGAAAAATAAAAACAGGCAAAGATGCCAGACTATTCACAATATGCACTCCCTCTTACATTTCGACACCGGCATGCATGGGATCATGGGATGTCATTGAACTGGAGGTAACTACTTGCGACCGTCTGCAAATGTACTTGAGAACGTTGCCATTTGAAAAGCAGCACGGTTACGTTACCGACACAGTCATTTACATACAAGTTTTGACAGCTTGTGGCAAGGTACTTCGAGAGACAGTGCGTTTCGACTGCAACTCTGTCTCGGTCTCTGTCACTCTCTCTCTCTCTCTCTCTCTCTCTCCCGCACCCACATGCACCCCCCCCCCCACACACACACACACACGTGCACACGTACACACACGTGCACACCCACCCACACCCACCCATACAAGCATGAAGCCTTAGTAGTGTCGTGGATAGCCTGACTAGAGGAATTGAGTCAGCACCGCGCACTGCGGCCGGAACCTACTTGCAGAGGACGTCCCACTGGCTACGCAGCTTGGGATTGCAGACCCTGGAAAACACCTCCTGTGCTGAGTTGTTGACCTGGATGCGTAGCTGCATGCACAGCTCATCGCCACTCTGGTGTTTAGACATTGTAATCTACACAAAGCAAAGAAAGTCAGCACAAAGGTGTTATAAGTCAGCACAAAGGTGTTATAAGTCAGCACAAAGGTGTTATAAGTCAGCACAAAGGTGTTATAAGTCAGCACAAAGGTGTTATAAGTCAGCACAAAGGTGTTATAAGTCAGCACAAAGGTGTTATAAGTCAGCACAAAGGTGTTATAAGTCAGCACAAAGGTGTTATAAGTCAGCACAAAGGTGTTATAAGTCAGCACAAAGGTGTTATAAGTCAGCACAAAGGTGTTATAAGTCAGCACAAAGGTGTTATAAGTCAGCACAAAGGTGTTATAAGTCAGCACAAAGGTGTTATAAGTCAGCACAAAAGTGTTATAAGTCAGCACAAAGGTGTTATAAGTCAGCACAAAGGTGTTATAAGTCAGCACAAAGGTGTTATAAGTCAGCACCATGGTCTTGCTTGCTTGGCATGCACAGGGTCTCACTTCACAAGAAAATCTTCAGAAACACATTCGGAAAGTACATTTTAACATGTTTTCAGTCCACAAGAAGTACTTCGGCATGGATATATTGCATCATTAATACTACATGGGCAGTGCAGCGCACCTCCGCAAGCTGGAAATGGTTTACTCATAACTAGTCATAAGGATGGGAATGGAAATACATGTAGTAGGAACGTACATCGGGGTCTTCAACCAGGAGATGCCAATCCTCCACCAGATTCCACTTTGTGACACGTTCGTAGTTGGAAAGGATCAGCTCTTCCTGAAATAATGGAGGACAGGCAGGCAGAAGACCAGAATGAATTATTAAAGTAATGTTGACAACTCAACTAGTCCCTTTTAGCCATAAGTCATAAAACGTCGTTGCCTCCAAAATAACAGAATAGAAGGTGAGGAGACAATAATCTCTCCCACTCTTATTCTTTACTCTTACTTAGTAAAAGTTACTTTGAAGTATCCAACAGGCAATTGGCCTTCTTACAGGCGCCCGAAGTAAGGTACACACAAACTGTTGACAAGATAATTATGAGCTTCCGCAAATCCTGGCCAGGCCCGTCATCTCTGATGCCCACACTTTAAAGTCCGATGCAAAACATGAAAATCACAGGGCCAGCAGAGTTTAAGGCGCAGAGTCAAATGGTCCTGGTCCCATGTCTCTCCAACGAAGCATTCTCGAGATATTTCGTTTGGGATACGAGCATCTCGGGGGCTGAGCCGTGGTGTCCTGTCGCCGCGACACACCCCTGCTACATCAACATGGTCAAAGGGTTGCAGCTAGGTCGAAAGGAATGCATGTACCGTAAAGTCGCGGATAAAAGCCGGGCTTATAAGCACATAAGCCGCTTTCTGCGTCAGGCTTCAATGCAAACCAGGCTTGCATGCAAACCATGCTTATATGCACCACTGATATTTTTGCCAGGCTTGTATGCACATCGGCCGATCCGGGCTTGCATAGAAGCCAGGCTTCTACGCACGACACGCGTAGATCTACCACTGACTACCGGCATGGCGGCAGTTTTATTATGCACTGTACATAGCGCATGCACTCTTGACCTACCCGATCCGCGCTTGCATAGAAGCCAGGCTTCTACGCGCGACAGGCTTATATGCATTTGACCCATTTGGTTTTCAGGCTTCTATCCGCGATGTGCTTGTATGCAAACCCGGCTTTTATCCGCGACTTTACGGTAAGCATTATTGTCGATGCAATTTCAGCTAATTTGGCGACCGAAAATAGGCAAGATGAGCGACCCCGGAGATATACCTCCATGTGAGAGTGAGGATGGAGCCATGCGCGGCCTCCTTCGCTTAGTTTGAGGCTAAGAACTTTGGCATTCTGCTTTAACTAATCTGGTGTTGCACCTACCGCAATGGCTTTAGACCAAGTCGGAGCAGCTTGCGCACCGTTCTGGATTGACTTGAGGAACGACGCTCTGAAGACAAGTAAAGCAAACAAAGAAAGTGAGTGATTGCACTATTCACTGACAGCGGATGCCCAAGCTCTGTCAGCAGCTCAATATAGGACTGGCTAATTAGCAAATGAAGAACTGTATCTACAATATCTGCCTATAGCTATAGAGAAAGGAAAGAAAGCATTGTTGCTCGGAGTTTCTCGCATTAGCAATCATCAGACAGCACAGATGATGAGGAGCGCTAATGCGTGGAACTCAGAGTAACAGCAACGTCGTTTTGTTTCCCTTCTCTATACGTGTTACAGTATAAGGCTCTGCACCCAGGTGCACCGAGCACTCTCTCTCGCTGCCGCAACTCTCGCTCTCTCCTTCCCTCCCTCCCTCCCTCCTTCCCTCCCTCCCTCCCTCCCTCTCTCTCTCTCTCTCTCTCTCTCTCTCTCTCTCTCTCTCTCTCTCTCTCTCTCTCTCCCTCTCTCTCCCTCTTTCTGTCTCTCACTCTGTCCTCTCTCTCTCTCTGTCTCTCTCAAGTGTAATATCCACCTACACGTACATGTACTTCACGACAAAAACAAATGCGGAAGACCAAACACGCGTGTCTTCTCGAGGCCCTAGGTCTCACAAACAGGATTAGCTGTCTTCCTGCAATGTTCAGAAGGCATCTACAGGTACAGGTACTATTTAGCCCCCCCCCCCACCCCCAGCCCCCCCCCCCCCCAGCCCCACCACACAGGATGCTAACGATGCACAGAAGAAGAAGCGTGAACGCACTCTACCGCTACACCGTCACTTAAATGTTTTTTTCTTCTCGACCTGCACACATGCCTACAGGTAGTACACTTGTTCGAGGAACTGCAAATCGGTGTCCACCACACTCATCCCATGCTATGCTTGTGAAAGACAGTCTGCATAGCGTATCGTCGGCACACACCTCTCCAGGCGCATGTGGTACCGCACCAATGCTTCCTCGAAGCGCCTGACATCTTCCTGCAGCCGGGCACAGAGAGGGTAACAAAAGTACAGACGTGTTGAATTCCATGCAAACAACAATCTTCAGACCTAGCGGCCACTTGAGTGCATACTGTCAACCGTACAAAAAACTAAAACTCGCTTGTAACAACACTTTCTCGTGCATGGTCGAGGGTCGTCATTCGCAAGGTTGACGAACATTGTAAATCAGGAGTTTTGATGTACACAGGGCATGGATCAATCAGAGTTGCAGACTTATGTAGCCTTGCTGCTAGGCTTCCGAAGCTACCCTTGTATACGAAATCTCTCCGCGCATACAATGGCCACGAACAATATGTGAGCCTACCGGGTCATCAGGGCTTGGCAGTATTCGCGCCACGCTGCTACGACGCGGCTCGGCGCTCGGAGCCAGGCTGCTACGACGCGGCTCGGCGCTCGGACGCCGGCTCGGACGGTCGAGGTTCAGACAAGTGAACGACAGGAAAGACGTGTTGATGTGCCGCGGGCAGGCCTCTCCTACGTCCCTTGCCTCCACTCTACAGCCCACCTCCACACTGGACGAGAGAAACAGACAGGCAGAGAAAGTAGTCCCTCAGCCTCAGGGTGGCCAACCTCCACTGCAGCCAATTCATTAAAAAATATTTCATAAACAAGCGTTTCGGAGACAGCAGTTTTAATCTAGCTACATGGAGGACTAATTGTACTGTACTGTATTTGCCGGAGTATAACGCGCACCTGAGTATAATGCGCACCCCCTTTCTTGACCAACGTGTTTGGCAAGCCAAAGGTACCAGAACATGTTATTATTATTATTATTATGACGGATAACCCAAAGGCAATGGTACCTAAATCAGGGGGTACATGTACATGCATTTTGATATTCGGAGCATAGTGCGCAACTGCGATTTGGGACCAGAACTAGTGTATGTAAAGTGCGCACTATACTCCAGCAAATACGGTAAGCATTTCCTATACGTCGACATGTATCACATCATCATCGTATAACATCATCATCGTATAACATCATCATCGTATGACATCATCATCGTATGACATCATCATCGTATAACATCATCATCGTATGACATCATCATCGTATAACATTTTACACATACATGTCGACATAATAGGAAATGCTTACAGTACAATTACAGGCGAAGCGCCAGCACCCCAAATCAAGACTTTTTTATTTTCCGTGGCGGGAAATCGAGCTTTTCCAGGTATCTACAGCCTGTAGAAATTCAACGCTGAGAATTTCCAACTATTGTCCGGCTTTGGTCCTCTGCCACCGACCTATCCTTTGAAGGAGAATGCTGA